CATTTGTATAGTTAAGATATAAAACGTTTGACATAAGTGTTTCAATGTCATGAACTCTTATAGAACCACTATACAATAGTCTAGAAGATATACTATCCCAGTCAATATACTCTGCTTTTTCAAAACCTCTCTGACAGTATTTTTCTTATCTAATGGTATACGTTCCATCTTACCTATAGGTATCTTTTCTTTCAACTCACTCAATATTTTATTTGTGTCTGGTATATGTTTGAGACGGTTCATATAGTTGTCGAAGTCATTGCATATAATCTTTGAGTCAGGAAATACAGTATGGCACAAATGGGATATATAGAAACTTCCACCGAACAAATCTACAAATGTTAGACCATTCGGTAGTTTCTTAAGTTCTCTCAATAGAATATCTTTACATCTACTCTTATTTCCAAAGAAGGGTAACGGTGGTTTTGTGAAATTCATTTTATATATATATAATAAAAATGTTTTTACCTGAAAAGTGACAGAAAAGTGACAAAACATGAAAACATATATATTTTGTGAAAAGCTCCTGGAAGACCCGTATATATAAAGACTTCAGATGGAACACATACTTTTTCAGTAAGGACATATGAGGTGAGATGTCACCTGTTTTCTCACCTCATTTCTCACCCGTTGAATTTTCATGAATTTCTTCGTAAAGACTTTGTTGAGACTTCTTCGTAAAGACTTTGTTGAGATTTCTTCGTAAATGAGTGTAAATGACCCAAAAATATATTTTAGGGTAGAAGGGTATATCTAACCTCTTTTTAACCTCTTTTCTACCCTCTTGAATTTTCATGAATTTCTTCGTAAAGACTTTGTCAAGACTTCATCGTAAAGACTTTGTTAAGACTTCTTCGTAAAGACTTTGTTGAGACTTCTTCGTAAAGACTTTGTCAAGACTTCATCGTAAAGACTTTGTTGAGATTTCTTCGTAAATGACCCTAGTAGTATATTTTTGGTGTAAATTTCATGAAAATTCAAGAGGGTAGAAAAGAGGTTAGAAAAGAGGTTAGATATACCCTTCTACCCTAAAATATATTTTTGGTGTAAATTTCATGAAAATTAAAGAGGGTAGAAAAGAGGTTAGAAAAGAGGTTAGATATACCCTTCTACCCTAAAATATATTTTTGGTGTAAATTTCATGAAAATTAAAAGAGGGTAGAAAAGAGGTTAGAAAAGAGGTTAGATATACCCTTCTACCCTAAAATATATTTTTGGTGTAAATTTCATGAAAATTCTGAGTAAAATGACAGATGTTTATATGACACTTTCTCCGGTTTATAGGACCTCTCTCATATTCTAAACATCTTCGGGGCTAGAGGGCACGAAGTGCCTGGAAGCCCCACTACCTTTTTTTAATTGTTATAATTTAAATGAAGAAGTAATTTAAAACGATTTTATTTATGATCAAATTTTATATATTTTTTTGGATCAAATCCATTTTAATAGAATTTATATACCATTCATCTATTAGTAAACACTACCGTATATTATTTTTTAAGCTATCTTATTTTTTGAAATTTTATTCAAATCTTTGGTCGCAAGAAGAATTGCATGATAAATAAAAACATTTAATCAAAGTCAATTTTATTTTTCATATTCAAATGGACTGAGTGTTAACATTTAACATTTTTTGCTAATTGTCGTCAAAAATTAGGCGTAAAGCAAAAATTGATATTTCATATGGTTTTATGATAGATAAGCATTATATTCCCACTCATTATATTCGTAAATTTTGAGGTTTATCCTTCGCTTTTAAGATCATTGAATTTGATTTTTATATAAAATAGTTATATATTAGAAAATAATATGAGTTTATGTGATATTATTTTTCAGAAGATTTCATTCTATATGCCTATGAAAAGTACTCTCAAAACTAACTTTTTCCTAATTATAATTAAATCTAGAATATTGTATTATGCTTAGTATTATTTCATTTTTCTCATTCAATTTAGAATTTACAAATGTCAAAAAATTGAGAGCTGTCACTTTTGATGAATTTCTGTTTATTACACTTTAAAATGTGACCGGTGACGGAAATCCATGGTAACCAACCGCGGTTCCCGTTTGGAATGCCATAATTGTGTATCTAAAATAATATGATTATCCTTATTCTGTTTTTTCCAAAATTCTTTTAAATATCTTTTTTGGTTAGATTACTTTATACTTTTTACTTTTATTTTTTAATTTCAAAAAAATTTGGTGATTGTTCTATTCTGTTACAATGTGCATTATCATATTCTAATGAATTATTCATTACATACATTTAAAAAAACTTGTTAAAAATGAAATTAAAAAATTATGTTTATTATTACGCTGTGAATGTGTCAACAGCGGTCATGCCTGTATCTGTATCCCATATTTGCCACAACCTTTCTGTATCTGCATTTGTGTATTTCGGTTTCAGCTGATACATTTGATTTGGCGTGTAATTTGTTCCAGTTAATGGATTAATTAGGAGATCTTCATGCGGTGTGTTATTATTGTACTCCCAAATAAAGGCAGGAATAGCCTGAATGCTTTGGCAGCGCTCCAATGTCGGCCAGAATCTCTCAATCTTCCCATTTTGCTAGGGAGAATGAGAGTCTGTATGCCGCCATTGGACGCCCCAAAGATCAAGTAGATCTTGAAAGGCGCCCCTATTTTCTGAACCGTTGTCGGTCCAGAAACAATAAGGGGCGCCAAATTCAATGAAGGCGGAAGCCGCAACGTTCGCTGTCGTCGCTGACAGCATATCTGGTATTTGTATACACGCTAGGACTTTGCGGCTAAAATTGTCGATTATGCCATAAATATACTGGCCACGAACACCCCTAAAATAATGAACATCTGCGTGCCAGATAAGATTGGGTGAAAGCGCCCAATATCTTACTGCTGTTTCTGGCCCGGCATGCTCTAATCGCGTCTTGGTGAAATGATTTTCTTTGAAGTATCTGCGTACTTCTCTATAAGATACATCAATTTGTTGTAATTTCAAATGTTTCCATTGTTTTGTTTGACCACAGGGAAAGGCCCAGTGATCATGTATCACAGCAAGAGCTTTGATTTGGTCGTAGGGATTGACCCTACGACCTTTCTTGCCTTTAGGCAATGGGATATTCTGTAAGCTAAATTGATTTTGTAAAAAAGATTTTGAAACATCTAAATATTTTAAATCATTTGATTGAAGGGTTGGGGCGATGGGAACATGGGTGCAAGCTTCTTCCCATGTCATTTTACCTTCTTCAATCTGATTGGAAATACCAATTAGGTAAATTCGATCGACATACCCTTTGTAAGGATTCATTTTAATGAAGTACGTTAACAATCAAAATATTCTATAAGTGTCTAGTATGGAATTCAAAAGAATAAAGAAAATGGTAACGTAAATAAACGTATTATGAAATAATTTATAATTAAAATGAAAAAAAGAAAAAATAATAAGTAAAGTGACTGGAAATGAAAATGAAAATCAGTGTACAGTTTTATTTTTTTCTCGCTGTGAAACGTATTCGGTCTTTTTTTTAAAAATTAATTTTTTGTTAGAGATAAGAGCTAAAACTCGGTAAACAACTTCTTTATGTCTAGAAAATTCTATCTTGCCTTTTATTTTTTTCTCGCTGTGAAACGTATTCGGTCATTTTTTTAAAAATTAATTTTTTGTTAGAGATAAGAGCTAAAACTTTGCAGACAACTCCCCCATGTCTAGAAAATTTAACATTCGTCTCCCATTTTTATATATTTGGTTTAGAATGTTCGAAAATGCGTAATATGGTCATTTATATTATTTGAAAAGAACCTTTTTTTAATTCAATCTGATCTCACAAAATACTTTAAATTACAAACCTTGTCGTTTGAATAGATAATTAGTATTAAACTCAAATAACTAGTTTATTTTTGAATAAAAATTATTTGAATTTATTTAATTTTGTGAATTTTCCTTCAAAAATCAAGTTTAAATATCTTATTTGGCATATAATTATAAATACAATGAAACATATTCGAAATTGAAAAGAATGACTTTTTCTGTTCTTTCAATCATTCAATTTGAATTTTGCAATATTGGATTTCTCATTAAATAGCTATTAAGAACAACAAGCAATTTAACTTACTTTCAAATTTATTTGTGTTATATTCACTCTTCTCAAAACTTATAATTTTCGGCTATAGCATGATTATATGCTATATAATATAATAAACCTATAATAGTATCATTCTTTCAATTATTTGAAGAGAAAACCGAAAAAATCTATTTTCGGTCTATAACACTTCTCAAATATAAGTTGGCCTATTCAAATAATAAAATTAAATAATATTTAAAATAATAAATAAAAGTGATTGAGGTCATAGCAAAACGGCTGTTTCAGTCATTAATTCTTAAAAATAAAAAGGGTAAAAACTAAATAAAATGGGTAAAATTCAATAGTGTCTCTGCTATCGTTCAATTTGAAGGTGTATTTTGAAACCGCAAGACACATTGAATTTTTGAATAGTGTATTATGGTTTGACAGACACCAATCAAAAAAATAAAATGATATTTATTTTCAATATATAAGATTCTTATATAAAATATAAATATTTTATCGTTTTATTTTCTTGTTTTAGAAATGTTTTTTATTGAAAAATCAGTATAACTAACTCCAAACTAAAATTTTTGATTTAAAGACACTATGATTACACCAGGCAAATCTTCCAAGACACCTATCGTCCGGAATCTGACAACCCTAGAATTTTCTCTCACAAATTATTTCAGAATAATTCGTTTTATAACAACAAAAATTAATTAGTTAAGCATTTGATATTACCCCTAATGTCTATATTACTAAATAAACTCGGCATTATTTATTTGAATCCATTTGAAATATCAATTATTTAGCTTTCAATTTATTTAATTTTATCAAATTGATATAAAATTATCAAAAGCAGTGATTTAAAACAAGCAATGTCTTATAAAAAGATTATGTTAGAAATGATTTGAGAGCGGAGTTTGCAATTTTGATTATCGCGTGAGCAATTTTAAGATGTTTTATCTATTTGTAGCGTGGTGGCTTAAAAATTCGGGAAATGATGAATACGGTGGCTTAGATGGTGAAGATATCAACTGGTCTGGGCATGCATATTACGATAAATACACAGGGAAAGGAATCACAATTGCCGTAATGTCTGATGGAGCGCTTTTCGATCATGTTGCATACAAAGATAGAGCAATCAAAGATCAGTTTATTAATATTTATACAAATGAAATCATGTTGACAACGAATTCATCACATAACATCGCAACTGCATCATTAGCTCTAGCAGCAGGGAAAAGAGGTACAGAATTTGAAGGTGTTGCTCCAGGAGCAAATGTTGCATCTTATTTTTTCACAAACTATTCCATGCAAGCAGAACACCTTCAAACTGTGATGTGCCATCAGAGTTTGAAGTGGAATATATCAATCCTTCAATATCTTTACATTGAGAAACCGAATGGATACGTTCAATACGTTCAACCAGAAGTAATTCCTAAGGAAATTGCAGATGATTGTTTATATCATCCACAAGAAGGAAATTGGCCACATCCAATAGTGGTTCCAGCAGGAACTTTCTGCGCATCTGATCCTATTATGAGTCCACCTTCAGGTTGGCCACTAGTTTTTACAATTAGCGGTGTTACTAACAGAGGTCTTTCTTTATATCGTTCTGCTGAAGGTGCAAGTGTCTTTATGGTTGCTCCTGCTGCTGGAAATGCTCCTATTTTTACAGCTTCGCCAAAATCTACTAATTCAACAAATAAGAACTTCACATCGACTAACGCAAGTGCAGCGATATTCGCAGGTGGACTTGCTGTTTTATTAGAAGCAAATCCAAACCTAACATTATCTGATCTGTTTTATATTACTGCGTTTTCTGCAGATAAAGTAAATCCAAACACGATAATTTGGGACAAAAATGGAATACAACTTAATTATAATAGAAGATCGGGCTTTGGAAGGTTGAATCTGGGTAGAGCTGTTGATATCGCATTAAATTGGACATCAACTGGGAAATTTTATGAATACAAAGTTGAAAAAACTTTAAATTTAATTATTGAAGACCGTGAGCACAACGTTACTTTTGATTTCACAGAAAGAAGTGCGAAATCTGTTTTATGCGTCAGTTTATTCTTCAAATCGAAGAAATTATCATTTGGGTCGTTAAATCCACACATTATTAGTCCAAATGGAACAAGGTGTGAAATGAAAATATTAACAGAGGCAAACTTAACTTCAACAATAAACTCAGTTGAATTAATGGGATATAAATTCTTAGGTGAAAATCCAATAGGAAAATGGACAGTTTCATTTAGAGTCGCAGACAATGCATATCATGGAACAATAGAGAGCTTAGGTCTTAAGTTCTTCTATAACAAAATAGCTCCAGATATCTCTTTGATAAATCAAAGAATTGGTTGCCATTCACCATTCGAAGCAAATGTCTCCAAAATTACATTCAAAGAAGATAAAATTTATCTATTTGCAGCAACAGCTGCTGGGGTCAGAGTAAATGTAAGTGAAGATGTAAAAGACGCATACTACACAGTTTGGCTTGCTTCACCGGATGGAAATGATAGGATTCTTATTAATGCTAGTTTTAATGAGAAATTCAATTTGTTAAAAATAGAATATACTCCTAGTGTTTTCAGGGATAAACTTGATATGATACTTATTATTGATTCCATGGATCCTAAGTGCATCTTTTCATCAAATGTTTCAGTTGACTATAGTAATACTTTGGATGTTGGCTTATCCAATCCACCAAATGGAACAGTATACAAAACTGCAGATACTGACATATATATTGAATATGTTCTGCATCTTGATAGAATCATTTATGATGGATTTTCTACATCAATCGCTGCAACTATTATATCTCCTGATAGCAAGGCCATTCTAAATAGAGAATGGATCAGAAACACAGGAAATAGGTGGCTTATTAACATGATTCCTTCAACAAAGAAGTTTTATTTACAAATATCACCTACTTCAACTGAAAGACAAGAATATATCCATCCTATGACGATTAATTTATTTGTTGTTGAACAAGATGGCAAATATAGGCCCGATGCATTAACTCCTGTTCAAATTACTGAGATTGTGTTAGGTATTGTATTATTTGTTCTGTTATTGTGTTTCGGGATCTACAGATCTATTGTTTTGTTTTGCACCAAGAAATCATCAATTCATTTTGAATAAAGAAATCATGAGAATCTTTATATATTTTTCCATTAATAGTATATTAGTTAATAGATGCATCAATACAGAAAATCTTACCTTAGTGATAAATCAATGATTCAAAGAATGAATGATTAGATTTCATTCAATTAAGTTCAAAAAAGATGGAAAACCAGTGATAAAGTGTTATACATCAGCTTTATCTGCATTATGTTCGTTTAACTCAGTTATAACGTCGACGGTAATCTCAATTTCTCACTTTAAAGGATTATCCATTTTATTCACTGCAAAATGCCTTATTTGATCTCAAAAAGCGAGTTTAATGATGTTTTATTTTTCGAGCAAAAAATTCGAAGAGAATCAAATCAAAAAAAGTGACTACGGATTTTGAGGATATCGGAATTGTGAACTTTACATTAAAAGTTCTCCAGAATTTGTATTCATGCTTGGAGTAGATCTTGGAGGTTCATTTACAAAAATGTGCTTTATTGGAAAAGATGGAAATAAGCAACTATTCTGCATCCAACATTAATTGAAGAAATCAAAAATTTCTTTCAAACAGATGAAAACGGCGAATTAAAAATCGAACAAATTCATGAGAAAATCGAGAAAATATGCATAACTGGTGGTGGATCCGTTAAATTCCGTGAATTTTTCGAGCAAATTAAACCAAAACCTGTCAAACTCGATGAACTAGGAACACAAGCTTTTGGAGCTGCTCATTTACTTAAAGACCGAAGCAATGTTAAAATTTTGGGCCCTCAAATAGAAGATTTAATTCCTTGTATCATTATTTCAATGGGAACAGGCGTTTCATACTCTGCCCTATCGATTGATAATAAGGTGAAACATGTAGGTGGCTCACCGCTAGGAGGTGGAACCTTACTTGGCTTAGCAAATTTACTGATTCAAGTAAATAACTTCGATGAAATACTTAGATTAGCTAATATTGGCAAAACATCTACATTGGACTTACTTATCTCAGACATTTATGGTCAAAATTACGGAAATACTTTATTATCTGATGTTTGCGCTTCTTCTTTTGCCAAAGCATCAATAGAACATAAAACTGCTCCTAAAGAAGATATAGCTGCATCACTCCTTTCTGCAATTTGTTATTCTATTGCAGGTGGAGCTGCAACTGTTGCTAGAGCAGAGAAAGTAACATCTCTTGTTTTTGTCGGTGGTTTCCTCTCAATGGAGGGAAGTATCCCTGATTCATTATATAAGTCAGCTTCTTTGTTTAACAAAGAAATCTCATTAATTTTCCCAGAGAATCATAGATATGCAGGAGCAATTGGTGCAGCCTTGCGAGCATCAGAACTCCAATGATTCTTATCATTTGTCCCTAAAATAAATTATGTTTATGTATAAAATATTTCCAATTTTTTTTCTGTATGAATTCTATAATTCAATGACTACTTTGCAGCTTTTAATTGCATAATGCAATAATATTAGTTAATTTCTTTCTGTTTATTTTTTTTATCGTCGGAAATATCAGATAAAAATCATGTTTCATTCAATGAGAGTATTCAAAGTTTATGAAAAACTTTTCATTGAAAAAAAAAAAGGTACTGGGGCTTCCAGGCACTTCGTGCCCTCTAGCCCCGAAGATGTTTTGTCACTTTTCTGTCACTTTTCAGGAAAAAACATTTTTATTATATATATAAAATGAATTTTACAAAACCACCGTTACCCTTCTTTGGAAATAAGAGTAGATGTAAAGATATTCTATTGAGAGAACTTAAGAAACTACCGAATGGTCTAACATTTGTAGATTTGTTCGGTGGAAGTTTCTATATATCTCATTTGTGCCATACTGTATTTCCTGACTCAAAGATTATATGCAATGACTTCGACAACTATATGAACCGTCTCAAACATATACCAGACACAAACAAAATATTGAAAGAGTTAAAAGAAAAGATACCTATAGGTAAGATGGAACGTATACCATTAGATAAGAAAAATACTGTCAGAGAGGTTTTGAAAAAAGCAGAGTATATTGACTGGGATAGTATATCTTCTAGACTATTGTATAGTGGTTCTATAAGAGTTCATGACATTGAAACACTTATGTCAAACGTTTTATATCTTAACTATACAAAGGTTTTCAAAGAGAACATAGAAAAATATACTGAGGGTATAGAGTTTGTGAGATGTCATTGGACAGAGTTGTATGAAAATATAAAAACAAGGAAAATGTTTTCTTATAGTAGACCACCGTTCTATAACAACATATGATTTTCAATACCAAGTAGACTGGACTTTGAGAGACTCTTTAGAAACTTTAGACGTTTTACATAACCATCCATGCTTTTACTTTACATCCGATAAAAGTGGTTTGGAAACCGTTATGAGATGGTTAGAGGACATACATGACTATGATTTTAGATACGATAAGATAGAATATGAGAGAGGTCCTATAAACCGGAAAAAGTGTCACAACAAAGAAATTTTATTGGTAAGTAAATGTGGTTTGAAATAGGACTACTTGTTTTAGGTTTTTTCCATTGTGTCATTTACTTATTTGACGTGGCAGAAAGATATAGAGAATATGAAGATGAACCAATGTCTGCAAATGTTCAGCATATGTACTCGTAAGAGATATTTTTATCTAATATTAAATGGACGCACAGAACTTAGCGAATGCACAGAAACCTGGACAACCAAACCCAGAGAATATTCCAAATGAAGTTAGAATACAAACTGCAATGGCAAACTATGGTCAAGTGCCAACAGATGTACAAATGCAAACTGCCATGTCAAATGACGCTGCGTTAGGCTTACCACCATGGTATGCAAATATGAGATGGAAAGAGTTTTATACAAACCCTGAAGTGGGATATAAACAACTCTATGCAGATGACGCGAACACAGGAGTTGACCCAGAGTATGTTTTCTACCAGAGGAGAAATAGAATGTATGAGCTCCAGTTAAAAAATGCTATGGAACTCAGAAGGAAACGTAAGAGACTAGGCGGACATTAGATTTTTACATATAGTAAAATGGGTTTCTTTGGAAGAATAGGAAACTTCTTTCGAAATGTTGGAAGAGGTATATGGAATGGAATAAAATCTGTCGGAAGAGGAATTTGGAACGGAGTCAAAAATATTGGTAAAAGAGTAGGTCAGTTTGTTGGTATTATACCTAAAGACCCTGAACCAGAAGAACAAGCTCCTGTTATACAACAGCCTGAACCTGCACCACAGTCTAGTTGGCAACCAAATCCAACACCTCAACCGTATTAAAATTATATTTTTACCGTTCGATAGTAGTTGTATATGAGACTAAGTTCTAAGTAAAACGCATGGTATAATGGAACTATTCTCTTTCTTCCATCTGTTGTAAACCATACTTGAAAGTCTGAAATACTTCCACTCGGTGGTTCATATAGCTTTGTAGGTTTTTCGTAAAAGTCATTTGCCAAGCATAAAAAAGAGTTTTGGGCGCCAGAAAATGAAGCATGAACTATAATAGCATCTGAGTCGAAAACATTTTCATATGTTCCATTAGGGTTTTCGACTTCATAAAAGTCCGGGTGTACTGGATATTCTGCAGGCTGATTTAACATCCTCAAAAATCTATACCATGCCAAGTTGTTATATTTTGTAGAAATATAAACGTCTTCTCCAAGGTCTTCTATTCTATTGATTTTAACAGTTGCATTTTTCCTGTCATATATAATATCGAGATGGTACTCTCCTTCGTCAATGTTGTACTGTTTTGCATATTCGAGATAGATATCGTTTATTTTTTCTTGAAAAGCTTGAAGAGTTGTTTCTAAATTTACAAGCAAATTCACTTGTAAAAGTTTTCCCTGTTCAAATTTCTCATACGTACGTTTTTCTTTGTTATAGTATCGAACTTCAAAACCGACCGTAAATGGGAAACCATGTATGGCTTCTGAAATGAATTTCATTCTACGAAAGCCAATAGCTTTTGTGACGGATGGGTCTCTTAACCATCTTAGTGGGTAGTCAAAACGATAGCCTTCATGCTTTACGGTCTCTGTCTCAAACTTTTGACCGACATTCGTAAAAAGTTCATCTAATGGTTTAGTTGTAGCAACTCTTGAATTTTCTTTTTCTATTGGAAGCATTTTTTATCTAGAATAAAAATGTCGAAAGAAACAGCGTCTATGAGAGAAATACAACACAACCGACAACTCATTATACAAGCTCTAAATAAGAACACAACGAACTTTTCAAACTATTCTAAGATATCTGAGTCATTGAAAGAAGGAAACTTAAAACTGACATTAAACCCTTTAACAGACGAGTTTCTGTTTCAAGACAATAGGAACCATACTGTTTGTATAAATCCAACAAAAGGAACTTTAAACGAGAAACCTATAGATGAACTTCTTTTGAAAGCAGATGTTGACAACAAAGCTGACAAAGAGTATGTAGACGATGCAATAGCAAAAGAAGAAGAAAGAGCTAACAAAGCTTATGCAACAAAAGAACATACTCATCCTGAACTAGCAGACAAAACATATGTTGACAATAAAATGTCAAGTGAAGTGACAAGAGCTGAAAACGAATATTCTAAAAAGACTCATACACATTCTATATCTGAAATAACAAACTTACAAGAAACCTTAAACAGGAAAAGTGACGTTGGACATACACATACCATTGCAAATATTACAAACTTACAAGAAAAGTTAGATGGCAAAGCTGACAAAGAGTATGTCATTGAAAAAGTTCAAGAAGAACATGACAGAGCAGATGCAACATATGCAACAAAAGAGGATGTTGAAAATAAAGCTGACAAAGAAACTGTAGATATGTTGGCACAAACGGTTTCAAGTCATACCAGAGGTTTAATGGAAGATGGACAACAGTTGAAAGAGCTTGAAAAAGGTGTTACAGAGTTAAGGAATACAAAAGCAGACTCGACATGGGTAGCTGGATATGTAGATACAACAAAAGAATATATTTTCGCATGGACAGAAGGAACATACCCACAAAAACATCATACACATAGCATCTCTGACGTAAATGAACTACCAACAATGTTAGATGGCAAAGCGGATAAAACATATGTTAACGATGAGTTAGAGAAGAAAGCGGATAAGACTCATACACATACAAGTTTTACAAGTTTTACAGCAGATGATATTACACTAAACACAACCTTGCCAAGTAAAGCTCCAACAATACCACCGGCAACAAGTCTTGTAGATACTTTGATATCTAATGACAATAGTATTATACATCTAAGACAGGAACTCAAGGTGCTTAAACAAATTTTGCCGAATCTTATTTACCCGGTTGGCTCTATTTACACGTCAATGAACTCTACCAGACCAGAAGTAGTACTTGGTTTTGGAACTTGGACTCAAATAGTCGACAGGTTTTTGTATTGTGCAAACTCTTCAAAGGAAACAGGTGGAAGTAAAACGATTTCAGGTGAAAACTTACCTGCACACAGTCACTACATAGATTTAACTACAGCTGAAGCAGGTTGGCATAAGCATAGATTTTGGGATTGGTCAGCAATGAAAAAAGGTAAAGGATATGATGTTAAAGACGACGTTCAGTTTGCTATAAATTGTTTCTGGGGTAGCACACAGGGAGAAGGAAACCATACACATCGCGTTTCAGGTATACGCAAACAACGGACAAAGTAAAGACTACATGCCACCTTACATGACAGTTTACGCATGGTATAGAAATGCTTAGTCGTCATTTTCAACTTCTTTAGCATATTCGTCAGGAGTTGTCTTATATTTGTTAGGAACTGTCTTTGAAAGTATACCACCTTGAACCTTAACAAGTTTGAAACGAGGTCTGACAATAGTAGTTTTATCTTCTGCTTGCAGTCTGTACATTTTGCCATGTTTGCCTAAAACTTCATAATATTCTCTTGTATACTTTCTTCTATTTTTACGAACACGAATGTGAGTACCTGTCGGGTACTTGTTGTTGTCATAGTCAATAGTATTTTCATATGGGTCGCGTTTAGGTATTTCTATTTTTACTTTGTCACCTTTCTTAAGTTTGAAGCCTGGCATTCTTTCTTGTTTGTCTCTTTTGACTAAACTATTAAATATATAGTCTTTCTCTAAGTCAGGGTTGTTTTTCATTTCTTCGGGGGAGTGGTTTCCCAAACCTTTTTGTTTACGGGTATTGTAAATATTTAAAACTTGTCTCATCTTTGCCATGGAGAAGTGTCTATACTTGTCGTCATATGACATTTCATTTGCTTCACCACCTTGTGGTTGGTTTAAGTCTCTTAAGATTTTTATACAACTGTCAATGACACCAAGAGCAGAATGGTTTTGGTCGACAATGAAATATTGGTTTACATTTTTTGAACGCAGATAGTTTTTAATATCGTCTGATTTGAAAGAACTTTCACAGTCAGATGTCAGTTTTGTTGGATGGTATTTGTCAACGAATATTGTCAAAGCAGTTTTCACATCTAAAATATTTTTGGACCATAATGGTATGGCTTCACAGTATCTTGTGTTTTGACCAACAAATATTAGCCAGTATGGTGGTCCATCTGTTCTATACCTCGGAATGTTTTCCAAGATATCCATAAACCAAGCATTTGGTGTTGAACTAAAGATTTTTACCATGAGTGCTTTCTTTGTTGCCTTAGAAACATACGGGTCCTTGTTTGAATTTGTCATTTTTAACCCATAAGAAATGGGTTTATTTGGCGCATTAGCAGGAGTCGCATCTAGATTTTTACCCGCAGTGGGAACACTAGCCAGAGGTGCATTTGGAATTGGAAGGAAGATTTTGAGTACATTAGGTATACTGAAAGAGAAAGCACAACCTATTATACAAACTGTACAGAAAGGTTGGGAGGTAGCACGAGATGCAGCAAATCTTATTCCAAATCCTGAAACAAGAGGAAAAGTTCAAGGATGGATGGACAATGTAGGAAGACAAGCAGGAAACTACTATAACAAAGCAAATGACTACTATAACCAAGCAGGCCACTACATGGACCAAGGTGAAAGATTCTTTAACAGAGGATATAACCATGCACAACAGTGGGTAAACAATAACCAACCTCAACCGCCTCAAACGTGGGGAATGTAAAATTTTTTACTGAGATGAAATGAACAATACAGCATTGAGACAAATGGGCTCAAGATGGCTTTGTCGGCTTCCAGCAGTTACACAACCACGTGTTTGTCAAGTTCTTCCTATACCTCAGGAAGTTTTAGACCGACTTAAAAAACCTCAACAACCAGTTGAAAACAAACCAAACTAAAATTTTTTACTGAGATGAAATGACCGAAGAAGTTGAAACGGTAGATTTGACACCACAAACAAAAAGTTCAGAACCATTGTCAAAACCTGTCAAAGAACTTACAGATGAAGAGAAAAATTCAATAATAGAAAGTGCCAGGTCTGGAAATACAAACTCTAACTACAAAGTCACTTTTCATAAAAATGGAACGGCTAGTATCTCAAAAAAGAAACAGACTCTCACAAATAAAATATTGAAGTCTGAAGGAGTTTATGAGACAACAGATGGAAAAGTTTACTTCACTGACCAACAGTTCATTATAGAACATCTCATTGACTTAGAGTCGAAATATTCTAAACTTTACAACAAACACAAAAAGTTGAAAGGAAAACAGAAACAAATGGCATATGATATTTATGAAGATGTTGACGACACAACTGAACCAGCAAGTGAGGTAAAGTCAGATGAACCGAAAAGTGACGAAAAACCAATAGAAGAAGGGAAGCCAAAAACTGAAGATAAACCAAAACCAAAGTTTAGTCTGGAGACTAAACCAAGTCAACCTTCATTAGCTGGTATGGGTTGGCGTCAAAGACTTATGGCAGCAAGTGCTTATGTAAAGTAAAGAAAAAAACATTTTTTTATTTTTATAAAAATGCCCCCATATAGAATGGATAGAAAATCTGCTAGAGTAAAAGCAGAGTTAGAAAGATATGGTTGGAGAGTTTCAAAGAAGTTTAAATATAGGAAGGGAAGACCCATAAAAGTCTATGACAAACTATCTGATCTTCGCTACGAAATGGACTTAGAAACAGCACGCGCAAATTATCCAAACAGATTAGAGAGGTTAGAAGAAGAACGTCTTATGGACATGCCTTTCAATGTTACTGAGCCTCAAATTGAAGGACACGACGGCTTTGCCAGATTCTACTGGAAACATGACGAACAATTGCATCCTTTGAGGAGGAAAAAAGGAAAGGGTGAAGACACACATGCTCCCATGGAAAGAACAAGATATGCATATGAGAAGTATCGTGAAGTTAGAAGTAAAATTGCATCTGGTCGAACCTTTACAGTAAACTTTGACGAAGGAAAGAACAAAGAAGGCTTCATGGGTGTACTTGCTGCAATTCAAGACGGAAATAAGAAAGGACACAATCTCAGACTAACCGTAACAGATTTAGATGGTCATATTTACTATGCGCATGGCAATGTCACAACAGCTGCACAACTTCTTGACGCTTTCAAGACTACAAAGAGAGAACAAATGTTTGACTCCGACTCAGATATTTTGAATGCAATTGAAGGAATTGCAAGCGTGAAGTTCGAATGGTACCAACCCAACCCTCAAGCAGTCAGACAACATGCTGGATACTTCCCGTTCAGAAATAAGTCTGACATTAACCTGACAAGGTATGGAATTTACAATTCAATTGAAAAAATTGTCAATGAACCTTGTATTCTTACATGTCTCAGGAACTCTGGTCTTGTTACAGATGAGAAAATGAAGTATCTTGAGTCATGTGTGAAAACAAGGTACATTCTCAGAAGTCAATTGGCTAAAGTTGCACCGTTGGCAAATGTCAATATCCGAGTCAACATTCCGACTGAGAAAGGTTCTTCACATGACGACTATGTTGTTGACAAAGACTTACCATGGTTGAAGATTGTAATTGTCCACAACCACTTCATGTTGAACGAAAGTCTTACAAACCCATTGTTCGGAAAAGGTAAGTGCAACATTGTCAGAGCTGTTAACATTCTTTTCGAGAAAGGCTTGTTGGAACCAATTCCAGATGACAAGCTGACAGAAACTTTTGTACCAAAAGACGAAACAAACTTTTCATTGTTGGTAAGACCAAAAGTTGTTCCAGACAAAGTTATAGCACAAAAGAAGTACACAGTTCCAAAAGGAGTTGGATTGTTCGGATACCAACCTGAACCAGAAGAACTTCCAATGAGGTTGCAAGAACTTCAAGATGCTATAAACAAACTTCCATTGAGGCATCCAATCGACGTCAAATTGTATTGGAGAGCTTCTGAGTTAGGTCAGAAGGTTTTATATGAAACAGGTTGTTTTGACGATGTTTATGAGATAACAGGCGAGGTTTCTCAGAAGATAAGAGACTCACTTGAATTTCCACGAACTGGGCCGATTCATTGCGATAAGTTTGACTCATATGAAAAAATATACTATGTCGACCTTAACGCTGCGTACATGAGGTTCGTCCAATATATTCCAACTGGAATTCCAAACGAAGATGGTGAGTTCCCGGGAAGGAACTATACAGTTGGAAAAGTCATACAACAAATGTATGATATTAGGAAAGCTTCAAACCCCAAACTTGCAATGACACTCAAATTGCTTATGAATTCGACATGGGGGTATTCCATTAAAAAACCTCAAAAGATGAAGAGTAAACACTATGAGAAGGTCGACAACTTTGTTGAAAGGTTTTCTCCTTTTGTTTTGAAATACGATTTCACAAGGTCAAAATGGCTTAGTAACCACAGTAAAACCTATTGTCGAACATTGGTCCTATCCTCAGTTCGCAAAGGCAGTCCTTGACAACTACAACAAATTTTTCTCCGAGGTCAAATCCAAAGTGAAGGTATACTATGAGAACATCGACGCGCTCATGACGAACGAGGAAGGCTATAACAAACTCATTGAAATGGGAATGGTCGGTGAAAAGATGGGTCAATTCAAATTGGACAAAATTTTCACCGAAGTTCATGTCCTCTCCAAGCGTAAGTACTGGGGCATACTTGAAGACGGCACAGAAATAAAACATTGCATGAAATAAAAAATTTTTATTCGAATTTGAATTTAAATGTGGGGAATTCTTGGGAACGTGAAAGGCTTATTTACTTGAGGAACAGGTAAAGGTGGTGGCAACCAGTCCATTTTATATTCCTTCCTAGCTAATTTCCGTTTAATTTCATGGTCGCCCTCGGAGTCTTTGAATCGGACAGGTCGAGTTACACCATTCTTGGTCTCAAACTCATATATAACCTGTTTGTTTGTATTTTCGTCGACTATGGCACGAGACACAAACATTGACCAAACGGACAAAAAGTGTCATTTCAGATGGTCAAGCAGCCAATCGCATTCGAGCACTTCGAAGAAGCCTTACGTTCCAAGGGAGAGGGTGTCTGGTGCAAGGCAGAGGTCATGAGACTCTACGAGCAGTACATCCTCAATGCCTGGGAGGACAAATCGTCCTTGGATTGGCAATTCTCTCAACTCCTCTGGGACGACCTCCTACGCAACTGGGATGACGAAAGAGTCCAATTCAGAGGTCAGGAACTACTTATCCAAATTACCATTAATTTAAGCTACTTATGCAACTAAAAACTTAAATTTACTCGGGGTTTCCCCCTAAAATAAAATTTTTTTACTCTTAGAACCACTCGAGGTTCTCCTTACGGTTGTTGAGCTTGTCACCGTCAATGTGTCTGACCTTCGTCTTCTTGTTTGGATTTGGAACCCATTGCATACCGACAAGCCTTCCCATGGAAATTGTACCGTAATTCCGAAGGGTAAGGCTCAAGTGTCCCAAGTTGTTGAGGACTGGGGTAAGAACCTTGCCGGTCTCCTTGTTGCGGATTTTGTATGGGTAGGGTTGGGAAATTTCGTAACCGTCATCGGCAACAAGGGTTGCCCAAACTTCCTTTTCTTCGTGTTTCTCTTCTTCTTCCTCTTCTTCTTCGTGTTTCTCTTCTTCCTCGAAAATTCCTTCTTCAATTTGGTACTCACGAAGTACGGTGTTGCATGTTCTGTCCTTTCCGAGTACCTTCCAGATGGCGTCTATCTCTTCGAAGAAACGGTAGATGAGTCTGGCAAGGTCTCGGTTCTCTCTCTCGTAATTGCGCAAGGTTTCCGCGAAATCGTTCAGGCATTTCTCATTGGAAGCTTGGTTCATGAGGAACTCACCTTTGAGATTGGTCATCTCTGTCATAAGACTACTTTGGATAGTCTTAATGGTGTTTGTCAGATGAGCATTCAATTGGACAATTTGAAGTTGAACTGGGCGCTTGTCTGACAACCTTGAAAGGACATCTGCCATTGAGTTTGGCTTCGGTGCTTGTTCGGACATCGAAAAAATGAAGTGGTTTGAGAATGACGGTTTTACTTCAAAAAGCTTGTTATGACGGTTAAGTCATACAACAAGTTTAAAATAATATCTTGTTCTTCTTCTGAACGTTTGTTGTCTCTTCCGATAAAAGTTTCGAACATGAGAACCAAAAAACGTTTTTTGAGATTGCGGAAGAGTTCAGGCAAACGTTCATATTCTGGATATGTTGGGAGCAGTTCGAAACATCTGAGCTGACTTTCGGACAAAATTGGGACAATGTCAACAAATTCATCTTTGGTCGGACTGCTTGAAAGGTAAGTCCCTTACATGTAAGTAGCTCTGGTAAGTCTTCTCATTTCTGCTAACTTTTGGAGTATAGCTTCGTAGTTTAGAAGTTTAATTTTAATTTGTCTTATTCCACTCTTGACATCTAAACGGTAAACTATCCATGAGGTCAAGAGTAGCTTTGGTAGCTTTAAGTGGAGCTATCTGTTCCTTGACTTCTGCAATTTTGGTTGCAATTGTGATTTGAGCTCCTTCAAGTTCGCCGTCTATGTCTTCTCAACACCTTCAACCATAGCTTGAAACTCTTCATCGGTCCATTGAGATTGGTGTGGGACGAATTTAACTTGCTTCATTCAAAAAAGAAAAAATGTTTTTACTCAAAGCGTGCCATGTATATGGCTATAAGAAACTTACCAGAAGGCTTCTTCTTCATATGCGTAAAAACATAAAAAAAGTGAAGTTAAAATGAATGTTTAAAGAACTGGCTGAATGTCGCCTTCACAGGTTATGTAGAACGGCTGACCCGAGAAGTGAAGGAGAGACTGAATTGCCAATTTCATATGGGGTAGGGGGTTCTCCTTGTTTGGTATTTTTATCCAAGGACGTTTGTTTAGGAACTTAACAAGAGCTTCTCTTTTGGCGTCCTTTATGTCACGTAGGCTGTCCCGTCTGGTATTTGAATTGGAATTCCAGTCGAAGTCTCGAGCTGAAGTGTAGACCTTCCAGAAATAGAGATGAACTTGACCTTGGGCTTCATACCTTGCGCAAGTAGTCTTTTACGCAGTCGTTAATTTCAATTAGGTAAATTGCCTCGTCAATCCTTCTTGCATTCCAAGTTCTTCCATCCGACAGGAAAATATTTTCCCGACAAACTGGAAAAATTTTCCAGTTGTCGTCCGTAAACCATTCAAATTTTCGAAAATTGAGAACTTTTTGGTCGAAGCTTCCGACAGGAAAAGTTTTTCCTTCCGACAGGACACAAACGGATGACTGACGTCCTCCGAGTCCATTCCAAAGCCAGAAAACCGAAAGCTGCAGAACCACAACAGTCTCCTCAGCAACACAACAACCTCAGTTCCAGCAAGTACCTCCGTATTACTACCAATTTCCACCTCAAGGTTACTACCCCACCACAAGGCTTCCCGAACTACCCTCCTCCTCACCTATGCCTTACTTCCCCAACCCTTGGATGTTCCAGCAAGCTCCACCCCAGCAATTCCAATCTCAATCCCAATCGAAGAGAGACCAAGACTTCGAAGAAGGTCTGAACCGCTTACGCAAAGAGTATGCTACAGCTCCAATGGAAGACGACAGGCTTTCAGTCTCTTCCCTCAAATCGACCGATTCGACTCGTACCACAGATTCGGTCAAAGACAGAGACGACTACCTCAAGCAGTCTGAGAGACTCTTCATCTTACAGCCATTTACAGTTGGAGCTCTCAAGAACATGCGCAATTACGAAGGTCAGACACCAGCTGGAGACCGCAAAACAGACGTACTCGCAAGAGCCGTCCAGCTCGTCAAGACAAAGACTGAGATAGTCGACTTCATTCTTGCAGCTTGCCCATACAAGTAAAAAAATAAACAATTACGAGTTAAACTTTTTATTCTTTCTTTTCTGAGTTGTTTAGAGCTGGTTTCTCTTGTAGGAACCTTTCGTACTCTTCCACGGTCATGTAATTGCGAATTTGGTACGCAATTCCAGGTTCGTTGTTTTTGAACCTTACGTATGTAACGCTTCCATCCTCCTCAGGGAAGTAAGCTGCTAACATCTGACCAAGTTTTCTCGGTGACTCGGAGCTCATTAAAAATGTCACTTTTTAAACGTTAAGTTTTTAGTCTTATTTTACCCTTTGTTTGTCAAGGTAGTATTGGAGCGCAATTTCTCCAAATTCTCTGTGTCGGAGTTCTTCAGCATTTTCCAAGGTGTACCTGGAGAACTCAAAGAAGTTGTCAAGAACATACTGCCATGCTGCTCTTCTGAGTTCGTCGGTATTTTGGAAGTGTTGCACCTTCGAGTCTTCTGACATGAAAAAAATGACCAAATTTCATTATATAACTGTTATTTTTGACGAAGTGAACTTTTACTCTTCGTAAAAAAATCCCTGAAATCGTGAAAAATTGCGAGTAGGTAAAAAACCCCAGTCGCCAAAACTCATGAAAATCGTGAAAAAATGCGACCCCGACTTTTACAGGGGTCGCCTAAAACTCATGAAAATCGTAAAAAAAACTCTATGAAATCATATCTTTTATACAAGATATGAAAAAATAAAATAAAGCTAGTTTTTTATAAAATATTTTTTTTATTTTGTATGTAAGAACAGGAAATGACAAACATTGAGTTTGAAACAGTCAAAAAGATAGACAATGACACCAAAGTGGTTAGAATTGGTGATTTAAACGTAAGATACTCAAAGAAATACAACAAATATTCTTTGTCAGACATTATATCTCCATCTGGAAAGAAAACATACCATTGGGTTGGAATTGCTTCAACTCAGAAAATTTTGACAAGAAATCCTGAGCTTATGATATCGGTAAAATTCTGTGGAACTACAGCATATCTCATTGACAAAAGTCTTATACCAATAGTTTTGTTATGGATTGACCCAGTTGTTGGATATAATTTCATAACATATGGTTCATTCGATACGGAACGTTGCAGTGAAGGCTTACTTTACATCGTTCAGAAACCGAAGGACTTCAATACAAAAAGATATAAGATAGGAAGAACATATAATATAACTCAAAGATATGACAGTATAGTCAATAGAGTTAAGGTTGTGTTTGTGAATGATATGAGAGCTGCTGAAACAGAACTACTTGAAAAGTTTGAGAAAATGTATGGTGCTCCCATAAAAGGTAAAGAAACGTTTGAAGTAGATGAGATAGATAAAGCTATAAAATTATTTGACGAAGTTGCTGAAAAATACATGTAAAGCGTTTATTTTTGGTCTTTTGTGAAAGTCAGATGGCTCAGGTAGCTCTATAAGGTAAATTGTCTTGTCAAATCCTTCTGGCATTCCGAGTCCTTCCTTCCGACATTCCGAGTCCTTCCTTCCGACAGGAAAAAATTTTCCTTCCAACAGGAAAAAATTTTCCTTCCAACAGGAAAAAATTTTCCTTCCGACAGGAAAAATTTTTCTTTCCGACAGGAAAAATTTTTCCAGTTGTCCGTCCGTAAACCATTCAAATTTTCGAAAATTGAGAACTTTTTGGCCGACCTTCAGGAAAAATTTTTCTTTCCGACAGGAAAAATTTTTCTTTCCGACAGGAAAAGTTTTTCTTTCCGACAGGAAAAGTTTTTCTTTCCGACAGGAAAAGTCCTTCCATCCGACAGGACACAAACGGATGACTGACGTTCCTCTTCCTGAATGTCTTCCAAAGCCAGAAGAACCGACAGCCCCAGCACCACAACAGACTAAGACTAAAACACTTACATTTTTCAAGCTTGACTTTTTACAATTTGAACTTTGTTCGCGTAGATATGAATTCTGAAAGAAGTATGAGGGTCTTGTATGACTTTGTACTTCTCCCATAGTTCATGTCTGTCAAACTTACCTGCCATGGACTCTTTCATAAGTTCCATGAAATCGTCTTCGGACAATCCGGGGAAAAGTATGATATCAGTAAGTATTCTCTTTACATCCTTACTTAAACTCTTTGCTGTCTGTACACAAATGACAACTGAAATGTTAAAGTGTCTGAGCTTCTTAAGAATTCGACACATGTCTTGTTCTCTATTCTTTAACAAAGGATGAGAAGCAAAGTCATCTAAGATAAGAAGACACCTATGAGGGTAAGTCTTCCAATCGTAAGATTGCAATTTCTTCGAAATGTATTCTATCTCTTTCTGTTTGTTTCTGAAGTGTTTCTTCTCTAATATTCTCTGCATTTCCTCATTTGGGTCTTTAAACCTCGAATTGACATACTCATTTATAGCATTGTACTTCAAAACTCTTCTTTGGTACTTCTTTATCCAATCCAACAACTCAGAGTCTTTTATACATACTAACTTAGACTTTTTTATAATATCTTTGAACGAATTGACGGTTTGGTCAAATTGACCAGAAGTACTACAAATGACTACTAACTCATAGAATGGGTTCTTCTCATCTAGTTCTTGTTGTTGTGCAGCCATTTTAAGATAAGTGAAAGTCTTACCCGACCCAGGTGGTGCGATTAGACCTGTTATACCATTCTGAGCAAATAGGAACTTGTCATGTATGGGTTTTATCTGAGCATTTTCCAACTTCCTCTTGTTCTTATTTAAAACATTCTCAAATTTCTTGTCAATGTCAGCAAACTTTTTTTCTAACATATTTTTAGAAAAATTAAAATTTTTATCTTTTAGGAAATGTCTAGCGATTTCGCTATCTATATTCGAGACAAGCTTTTCGACAGCAAAACATCTGTCGACCATAAAATCTTACATAGTGTAAACAAGAAAGGGGAATTTGTTCTAAAGTTCTGTTTCTGGGAATATGACAAGAACCATAAAACCTTAAGCAGAGCAGTCTTAAAATTTGTCAATGACAGACTTGTTGACAGAGATGACGCCTCTTGGAGAGATGAAGTCCAACAAAACTTCTTAGAATGCAAAGAAGACACATGCGCTGTTCTTGAAAATGAAATAGAAAACAGAATAGAAGAGCTATTAAATGACAAAGCACTTTTACAAAAATATGGTTCTGAGAAGTTTGACATAACTCCACCAGAGAAGAAGAAGAGAGAAAAGAAAGAAAAGAAAGTAGAAGAAGAGAAGAAAGAACCAGTTCCAGAGAAAAAGAAATTTGACATGTAAAAATAAAATTTTATTTTTAGAACATTTCTGGGTCAATGTCAATGTTCTCTTCCTCTTTAGGAGCAAACACCGGCTTAGACTCTAAAATCTTTTTACCCAATTTACCTTGAACTTCAACTATCTTAGACTCATAATATTCATAGTCGTCTGCTTTCTTTGGTTCATAAGGTATAACAAGTTTGTATGCTTTGCCTTCTTTAAGGTTTGAGAACCTTCTGTCAAAACTTTCTTTGACTGTTAACAAACCTTCTATGTCTAAGTCTTCAAATTTCGCACCATTTTTAGTCACAATAGCAAACTTAACTGGTTCGATGTTCCAAACTTTGTCAAATGTAGACTTTTCAAAATGGTAGAAGTAAACATTCAAATATGTGAATGGGTCTAGTTCTTCTTTAAGTCCTGACATGTACTTGTTGACTGAGATGAATTTCGTCATCTTTTCTATCGGATAAAAAAATATTTTTTTTAAAATTTACTCAGAAAAATTTTTCTTTGTATATACACCATTCTGAACATCTAAAAGACTTTTGACATTTGCCAAGAATGTTCGTTTAGACGCTGTCATATAACCATATTCTTGGCAATACTGTTTATACGAATCGTACAATGACCTTTCATCTAAACACTCAAAGTCAGTTTCATCTATGAACAGTTCATATACACTCTTGTTTGCTTCTAACAATGTTTGTCTCTCTTCGGTATGTGGAATTTGTCTTGGATTGAACTTTGAAATATCTAATGTCATGAAATATGAGAACAAGTGGTTGTAAAAGTCAGATGTCAAAGTTTCTGCTAAGTCGTCAAAATATTCTGTATCTTGCATATGAGCTTCTGACGTTCTGACAACTACATATCTTCTGTCAGAACTTTCTAACTTCATCGGAACGGCGTTGTTTGAAACCATGATGAAATTGCAACATTTTCACAAACTCTTTGGTCTTTATATTTTCTTTCAACAACTCCAACTTTGTCTGTTATAAGACTCTTCAAAGCATCTGAGTTCAAAACTTTTGTTGTATCTATACTTTGAAGTTCGTTACATACTATAAGTTTCATATTCTCTATTGAAGAGTTAAATTTACCGCAGATGTTTTCTAAGTTTGTCATATTAGGGTTCGAATAGCCCTCTAACAGTTTGCATAAGATATCTGTAAAGAAAGTGTTCTTACCTGTTCCTTGTTTTCCAATTATGATGAGAGCAGTTTCATTTTTAGCACTTGGATGTTGTAAGATGTTTGCAAACCAACATAAGATATACTCATAGACTCTTTCGTTTCCATTGCATATAATTTCTTTGACATGGTCTAACCAAGCTTCTATAACATTTTCTTTCCATTCTACTTGTTCGTATTTATATCCAGTGAAGATAGAATAGAAGTTTGGAGATGGTGTATAGAACTTTATACCACGAACTGAAAAATCTTCTAACTTTGACAATAAGATATCCCAAGCATCTAACATCTTCATACCAACTTGTACGACTTTTATTTTCTTAAGTTTCTGTTTACATTCTTGTTCTGAAACTATTGTCGCTCTTGGTTTGTTAAAGACAACATCCCATTCTTTCATGACATAACATTCTGGGGCAGAGTCGACATAAATGACTAAACGTTTCAAATTCTCGACTGCTTTGTTATAGTCTCTAAATGGACACATATTTCTGAACGCTTGGAAGTCATAAAAATCTGAAACGTCTATTCTGTACATTTTTATAAAAATAAAAAAAAATATTTTTTTTATTCTTGAGCTATTTGTTGTTGCATTTGTTCCATTTGTTGCATTTGTTGTTCTTGAGCTATTTGTTGTTGAAGTTGTTCTTGTAATACAATACTTTCACCAGTTGCATCTTCCAATTCGAAACTTTCTGCCGTCATTGACAAATACATAGGACATAAAAGTTTTACAGGAACAAAGTTTGCGTCAACTAAGGTTAAGTTTATGTTTGCTAAAGTGTTTGAGTTTACTAAAGCTGAAAACTCTGCATTCGAATGAACAATAGGCAAACCAGCAGAGAATGTGTTGTTTATACGCATGAGTATCTTTTGGTCATAGTAGTTTCTGTCGACATTCGAATAACACTTTGAACCTAAGTTTGAAACAATATATAAAATAGGTGTACTTAAAGTCAATGGAATAGACAAACCTTGTATGACACCTTTTCCTGTTATAGGAAACTGTTGGTAGTAAAAACCAGATATAAGTTTTGTATTATAGCTCATATCGTTTATACTAAACTCAGTCGGACATCCAAACATAATGAAACCTGCTCTAGTTGCAGCACATGTTACATCCGTCCTTAAAGTATTAAATAAGTCAACAAAACCTGTTGGTGGTATATCTGAGTAAGTATCTTCAAAGGAGTATTTTTTACCATTCACAACAACAAAGTCTTCTGGTGTCAAAAGAGCAAAACAGGCTTTAGTCGTCATCGTGTTTAAGGTTAGTTTACAATATCGTCCTTGAGGACTTTGTAAGTTTGTTGTTATAGAATTATATGACTCAGGGTTTTTAGTCGTAATAGTATAAACCACTATGTCTTCTGCCATTTACATATATTTAAAAGTTTTTCTGAAAGTGGAGAAGAACTTCATCTAAACTTTCACATGGCGTTTCTTGAAGTTCTCTGTCTAAGAAGTTCAAATATTTTGTAAAGACATAGAACTTTCCTTTGTCTACACGAACAAACAAAACAGGGTCTTTCATATCGTTCAAAAGTGTGTAAAGTCCTTTACATGAAATAAAGTCTATATTGTTTTTCTTCAAACATCTTTCAAGAAGTTTTGACATTTTTACTTAGCAAGTAAATTTTAATGAAATGTTGTGGTCGTCAAATATTTTTATGACGTCTGGGAAACTATATTTTAAGTTCAACGTTTCACCTCCTTTCATAACGTATATCTTGTCAATGACATTATATGAAACACCACAGCAAGCAATGTCGGGTTCTATTTCTTTGATGTTTATATCGTCTGCCTCTGTCAAAAGTTTCAATAGTTCTTTCAAAACTTCATGAGGTGCGATGACATATGAGTTCACTTTTACAGGGTTGTGCTCAACCAAGTTTAACATTATACCTAAAGCTTGACAAATCTTCTCCTGAGTTTTAAGTTTATCTTTAAGTTGTTGGTAGTCGTTTCGAATATCTGCAACAGAACTTAAGTCTCTGCTAACTTCAGGGTATGTTGGTTGTTCTTTTACAGGAACTATTGTTATACCATCTTCGTCTTCGTATGGTTTCCCCACTTCAACATCTCTGTCTTTGACATTGACAACAACACTTTGACTGTTTGTTTGAGTTGGTGAATTTAACTTCACATCTGCCATCGCCATTAAACCTTTTGAAACACTTACGCTTCTATTTTTCGGAAATGACATTTTACTTAGAATAAAAAGATGGACGTATTTGAGTATCTCTTCGAATTGAAGCAAAACAAAGTTTACACACACAAACAATACAAGTTCATTGACAGAGTAGTTCTTTACACAAACAATGGAAAATGTTATAGAATAGCAGTCTTTGCTGAACCAAAATATTTTCATAAAGCAAAGAAAGTTGGTATAACCGAGATGGTGAAAGTTCTTGACGTTGACAAAAATATAACAACAAAACTGACCGATATTTCTAAAGGTAAGTTTATAATACAATACTATGTCAAAACTGGCGTACTGTCAATATTTGACGGAGAGAAGTCAGTTCAAGAACAACTTACTGACCTGCTGCCAAAATCTGCTCGATGGAAGCTGTCGTTATACCAATCTGAGGAGCCCCAGCAGGTTTCATCGAACGAATCTTCAAAAGAGCATCTTCCGTGAAAAGTGCTATTGGTTTTGTAAACTTCTTTGCTTTCAATTCATTGGACCGTCTCTGTCACCAGTATATTGTATTTGAACTGTACCAACAGTTGAAATACCACCCATAAAGTCTTCTGAGTCAGCAAATGGAATGCCAAGCCAAAAGTTTGAACGGTCTCCATTTGTATATTGAGTTTTTTGAGCTCCTGTATGGTCCATACTTTCACATATGGCATAATAGAACTTTGCATTTCAGGGTTAATGGTTGTTGTGAAGTTGTTGTTAAAGTTCATAGCATCTAATGTCAAGTTGTATGACCTCATATCCTCAACTGTAGAATATTCTTCTCTTGGATAGTATTTGCCATCTATGTTTATATGATATTTAATACCGGGGTTGTAGAAACAAGAATAGTCATTTATAGTTCGTCTGAACAGTACAAACATAGTATCTGCATGTTTCATTGCAGTTGTTAAAGCAATATCTGTTCTTGCACCTGGGTCAGCACTTTGGTTTCCAACTTCACCTGCAAAGTCTTTGACAGATATTTGGTGTATAGGGAACATAAGTGGAACTGCAATATATTTGGCAGCTAAAGCATTTGAAATATCTGGGTCCAACATATAGACTGCAAGTCTGCTTTCTATTCTCTTGCATTCAAACTTTTCGCATGTGAACTTAACTGGGTCCCAAGCAGTTCCAGCAGCATTGAAATAATAGTTTACTTCAGTGTTGAGGTTTGAGAAACCAAAGTCTAAGTCAACTTTGTCTTTGCAAAATTCGGCGAATGACGTTTGATTTGCTCCCTTTACGTCTGTAAGAGTGAATGGGTCTTGCGTTGGTGCAATGACTAAGTTATTTTTGCTTGGAGTAAGTTCGATAGAAATTTTTCCTGCCCAGTTTGGCAAGTATCTTAAAAACCTGAAGATGAGGAAAGATGACAAAGGAACTCTAAGTTTCAATTTTACTTTGGTTACTGCTGCTGCAGTTTGTCCAGAAAGGTCAACATAAACTCCTGGAACGTTAGGGTCAAGTCTTCTTATTTTCTCAATAGTTGCATACTGGTCTGTTTGTTCTCTAGCTTGTGGTTGTACTGAGTTTCTCAAAGCGAACCATTCATAGTTTGCCCATGTTACTGTTTGAACTAAGTCAGAGTTAGAATATATCTTATATCCCATGAAAACTTCTGGAGCATATTGGTATCCGACATAGAAAATTCCATTGCAACCTTTCTTGTCAGACAACTTGGCAGAAGGTTTTATTTCAATGTCTTGTTCCACGTATAAGAATGAGTTGTCAATAGAAATAATATGAAACCTGTCGCAAGCAATATCTACTGTTGTTGAAGAACCTTCTCCAAACTCACCTACGTTTCCATAAGAAACAGCAGTTGTATATTCGTAAGTTCCAGGAACTATTTCTGACCTTCTAATGGCATTGTCGCATTCGTTATACCATTCGGAAACATTTCCATTCATAGCATCCAAAACTGTTGGCGTTATATTCTGAGCGGCGTACATTTCATATGGGTAAAAATATAGAATAGTTGGATTTATATGTCATAATAGAACCCACGTGGACCAAGCTTTACTTTCTTCCTGACTGAGTTTTTAACTCTTCTTTTTCCTTCATTGCCACTACTTTCACTAGATGAAGTTACTTCTTCACTACTTTCACTTTGTTCTACTCTTCTCTTCTTCTTTGGTGTCGCTTTTGGTAACTTGCCCTCTGCTTCAAGTTGTTGCATCTTTGCCTCATGTTCACCTAGTATGTTGTAAATTTCCCATGTCCTTTTTGCCTTTGGGCTCTGGTCGCCCATCTCAGGTAACCTATATCCTAGAAAGAGTTTGTCATAGTTTGTATTTGAGTCGTCGCTTATTGTTTGCATGACTCTTTTCTGAGTTTCCGGTTCAAGCTCTTCAAACAGTGCCTGTCCATATGGAATAAGCTCGTTTCCAAATATATGTTTTTGTAGCCATTCTGGTTTTCTTTCCATGTTACCAACTATATCTTTTGTGAATGGGAAAGCTTTTACCCAATCTTTCAGTCTTGCGTCGTTTATTTCTGTAGTTGGTTTTATTTTGTCAAGGAACATGTTTTTCAATACTAACATTTCATTTGGTACTGTCCATTTGAGTTTTCTTAAATATTCATCCCTTCTCAGTTCATTGTCTGCAAAGTAAGTTTTTATGACATTTTGTAAACTTTCGTTTGCAAGGTCATGTACAATAGGTTCTCTTCCTTCTCTGTCCATAACTTTCTTTCTAAACTCTTCACCAAATATACCATCTTTATGGTTCTGTGTAGTTCTTTGAGATAAATGTTCTAGAACGTCAGGTGTTATATTTCCATCAGCCATGTTCATTTCATACTGGTCCAAAATATCTGCATGTTTCATATCTTTCAATGGCATTAAAGCCGCGCTTAAAATACCAGCTATATCTGGTTCACCATTGACTTCCATTGCGTCTACAACTTCTTGGAATTGTGGTTGTAAGTTTATGAACCACCTATCCGGGTTAGCTTTATGACCCCATCTCATTGTAGTTCCATCGTCTGCAGAAACAAAAGTAGGTTTGTTTCCATCTTGGTTAGGTTCTGAATGAACTTTAAACAATGTTTCATTTCTATATGTTTTCTTGAAATTTAACCTTTTATTTTCACCGAGTTCATCCGAAGATTGAACGTTAAATGCTCGTAAGTAAAAAGGGTTGTTGTATTTGTGTACATTTTCTTTCAGTACTTCCATTCTATGCTGAATATTTTCATCTGGTGTTGGAGTCTTTTGTATGTCGGCAAACATTTTTCGATATTCTTCTACTATGTCAGCTGAATTTTTTTTAGACTCTTGGAAAGATTCCATATTCTCCGCATACACTTGTTGAGGGTCAAGATTTTTCGGCTGTTCCAAATCTTCATCTAGTTCTGTGAAGTTAGTTTCCAAAGGAGTGACTTGTTCGTTTCCTTCAGGCTCTTCTAGCTGTTGTTGCTGAACTATTTCTTCCATGTCTGGTTGTATCTGAACTAGTTCTTCCTGTGGAGTTTCTTGTACCTCATCTGGTGGCATTTCATATATTCCGAGACCGTTTTCAACAACTTCCCTTTCTAAGTCATCCGGACTCATAAACCTTTCTTCTTTCGTTCCGTCTCTATTTTTTACGCGTTTCATGACGGGAGTTGAATTGTCATTTAGCTCTGACATCAAATATCTCGGAGTAAATTCAGTCATGTCATTTGGATGATATGCTATTAAATCATATCCCTTAGCGAGCTTGTATTTTCCAGGTTTGAAATTATATCCCATTTGGTGCTGAACCATAAAGCTAAATAGGTTCGGGTCAGTATTTCCTCCCTTGAACTTTCTAATAGCTTCTTTATATCTGTCACTAAAGTCAATACTATCTGGGTAACCATAGTCTTCCTTAAGCCTTTTTAAGAATTCTTGGTTTCCTTGTTCTCTACTTCTTTTATGTCCTTGCTCTGTTTGTGGTTGTTGTTGTTGTGCAGGGTTTTGAACTGTTGGTTGCTGTGCTGGATTTTGAACTGTTGGTTGTTGTGCAGGGTTTTGAACTGTTGGTTGTTGTGCTGGATTTTGAACTGTTGGTTGTTGTGTTGGTTGTTGTGCTGGTTTTGGTGCATGCCTGTGTCTGTGTCCATGTGACGATGTAAATGTTTTAGGTAGTCCTGGTGCAGGTGCTTCTCTTGGAGGGTTTGGTGGTATATAAGTTCCACTAGCTAGTATATAAGTTCCACCAGCTGGTATATAAGTTCCACCAGCTGGCACATATGTTCCATCTGCAGCGTAATGTCCTACCTGACTTTTCGTTTTTAAGAAAGCATTTACTAGGTCTGTTTTGGTCTGTTGTAACTCTTTTTCTTGACTTTTCACAACAGTTGCTCTAACGGCGTCATAGGCACTTTGAACTGCCTGTCTCGTTGCTGCATCTGTTATTTTCGTCATATTTTGTGCTACTTCTCTTAACTCTTTGTCGAAACCTTCAGACTTCAGTTTCTTTCCAGATGAGAAGTCGTTCACTTGTTTCACCTTACTATGAAGATCTTCGAAGGCGTTCTTAAAGTCAGCATTTGTTAAAGCTTCATTTGAACTGTCTTCATCCGCTTGTATTTTTGTCCTTATTGACCCTATAAGCTGGGCTGCTTTAGCGTTGGCTTGGGCATCTAACCAGTCATTGTTAGCTTTTATATATTCTGCGCTTTTCATTGCCTTTTGCATGGCTGCGTCGTTATTTTTACTTTCTTGTGCTAAGTTTTCATACTGTACGGTTTGGTTTTGCAACTGTAAAAGTTTTTCTGCCTTTACATTTGCTTCAACTTCTTTTTTATACTCATCGCTATCCATATATGTCTTCAGGGCTTTTTGTTTTATCTCTTCATCTTTCAGTACTTTATATTGAGTAGTATGGTTTTTCAAATTTACAACATCTTGTTCCATTTTTGCTACTTCTGCTGCTTTTTCTGACACTTTTTTCGCATATTCCTCTGTACTTAGTTCTTTCAGTTGTTCTTCTTTCTTCTTTTTCTCTACGTTTAACTCATTGAGTTTCTTTGTGTGTCTGTCATATTCTAGTTTCTTTTCGTTTTCACTTATTTGCTTCTGTATGTCTATGTTTGACTTTTTGACATCTGCTATTTGATTTTTGAGTGAACTCAAATTCATTTGACTTTGAGGGTTATAGGCTGTTCCGTCTGCAGCTCCACCATAGCCTGCCATTTTCGCTAAAAGTGCCGCTCTTAAACCTCCACTCTGTGCACCAAGAACTCGGTTTAAGAGCATAGGGTTGCTTGACATTTGTTGCAACATAGTGGGGTCATTCAGCATTTGTTGTTGCAACTGTTGTTGTGGTGTCAGTTTTACTATTGGATGTTTCAATGCTCTCTTCCTCTTACGTATATTCTTACGTAGCTTACGTGGCATTTTAAGTGAAGTTAAAAAGCGGTTTTTGACAGATGTTTATATGACACTTTTTGTTCAGCACAAAAAACTACTCGGTCAAAGTGTTGTCAGTTTTGTAAAATAACCGTCCTATCTCATTCTATAAGGGGGAAAGGCTTCTCAAAGTATACTTCCTTGGAACGCCTGTAACTTTTCCTGTAGCGACGATAGACCCTTACTTGTCCGGACAAAGTTATACTATTTTGAGTGCTATACAAAAAAGTCAACGGCGACGACTCTCAAAAACCGTTGTGTAAAAAGTTTTACCGTTGGACAAAAAAGTATATATAGAAAACAAAAAACGTTTATAGTTCATTCAATATTTGAGATGGAACGGTTTGCCAACGGTAACTATTAAATAAAATAAAAAAATAGAGGGGGTTACCGTTGACGAAAACGGTTTATTTTAAACTTTTCTATGAGTAGTCCGAAAAAAACAGTTCATTTTTGTCTAATGGCATTCGCTAGCGTGTTCGCTCCAAATTCACCTGAAGAAATTGCTTGCAGACTTTCAGCACCCACAGGTTTAGAGCCTCAATATCAAACTGCAGCATCTACACATTCTCCAAGCAGAACAGACAATTCAAATTCAAATTTGTCCTGCAATTCGCTCAATCCAAAGCCACTTTCACTACCAAAAACAATACCAAACGAGCTCCGTATTACAAAGAACCACAGCAACGCTGAACTACGCAAAATACTACTCAGATTGTCTGAAGAATACTTCAATTCAAAGCCAGAAGAAAGAGTTGCTGCAACTTTTAACAAAGAATATTGTGAACAACTCAACAAAGTTCTTGCAGACTTTACCAAACTACAAAAAGAAACACCTGACCCATTCGAATTAGGCGACACAATTGTCAACTATTTTCCAACAATAACAAAGATATTGTTTGACAGAACTATATGTCAGCTTATTGAAAGTCTTCCACCCAAAGCTGCAAAAAAAGTCGAACAGTTTTGTGTCGAATTCAAATTAAAGAGTTACGGATATCAGGATGACGAAGAAGAACGTGAGTACGGACAAGAAACAACAAAATGGCAATGTCTTAGCTCACTCAACCCCAAGTTCAAACCATTATTTTACTCAGACAACAACACAATTCAAGTACGCAAAATTGCTATTCATTTCGTTAACCAAGCAGAAGACATTGAAGAAGGAGACTCTATCTCAGTTTATGTTTGCTACTGCAAGTTTTTCAAGGACGAATTTGGAGGACCAATTCTCATGCATGTCTTCAAGCCACATCAGCAACTCTACGTTGAAACTGAAATAACACTCATGCATGGAATGTATCTCAAGTTTGAAAGCCAATTGGAAAACACATACAACATTTGGCTTTCATACATTCAGTTCGATACACCAGATGACTTTGATGTTGAAGAAGAAGACTCTACTCAAGAAGATGAACCACAAGACTAACAATTTTCCGAATAAAAACTTCATTTATACTAAACATCTTCGGGGCTAGAGGGCACGAAGTGCCTGGAAGCCCCAATTCCATTTTTTTTTTCATTGACATTACTCTTAAGCAATAAATAAATGCAATTGATCAAATAATTTTTAAAATTTCTATTTTGAAAGCAATAAATCCGAAACAGAATTGCACCACTGTATCACTTATTATAATATGATACTCACATTACATATATATCATAATATGCTTTATCTCAAAGATTATTTTGATATAATTGTTTTCTATCTTAAATATTGGAGTTTAAATACAACAATAAAAAATACTAAAGATAAATATAGAATAAAATTCTAATCCCGAGTTGCAATTCCGCTAAAAAGCACATCTGCAGTTTCTGATTCTTCAACATACTCAGTTGATGACAGCGTCCACATTATTACTAAGTATGGTATGCTCATGCAGTACATAATGTATAAATTAATGAAAACTCTGATGTAATTAAATTTATTTAAGTCATAAAATTCTAATTTTGTAACAGCAAGACTATATCTTGTGCGCTGTGCTATTTCAGCACCAATATTACCAAGAATCTGCATGAATAACGCAATGTAAATTCTTAAATGATATTTTTGGGGTATGAAATCTTTGATTTTTGATATGACAAAGCATATATTCAAAAGACTAAGTAATAACAGATTCAATGTTCCATAGATTATTGAATAGACTTCATAGTTTTTGTTGTAAACAATCTCATTAATGAATGGAATTGTGTATGGATCAACTTTAGTGTAAAAGACAAAGAAGAATTTGCATATAATCCTAAATATCATTAAAACATACAAAAAATAGTTAAAATACTTCAAATATTTTCCAATTTTGATATTAAAACAAATTAAAACAATTGCAATTTGCTCAATAAACATAACATCTGCTAGCATTGTAAAATCATCCCACACTCTGCTTAATCTAAAGAAAAAATCTATATCCCATTCATGATAAAAATAACATAAAACATAATAATATATCCAAGAACTGAAGTTGTGAACAGCATATGTGAGCACATAACATATATCAGGCATAAAGCGATTTCTTAGTTGAAATTTAAGTCTTCTGATCAACGAAAAAGCATAATAAAAAAATGGAAGTTGTAAAATTAATTGGACAACAATGAAAATATAAGAACACGGATGATTGCAAACGCTATATGCATGTAATTGACAGTAGGACTGTGGCATATATAGAATGAATTTACTAACCTTGTTTTCCATAATTTTTTTATGTCAAATTTGACATAATCGTTGCAACGGAAATTTTATCGCTATCATATCATTCCGCAAAATAAATTTAAAACTCTTTACATCTATGTTTAATAAATATCAAATATTTGCAAACTAATAATGAAATTAATAACAATGATTCTTTAATTTCATGTTGTATCAATTCCATAATAGTCCGGCATACTATGCATTGCATTGAAAGATCAATTATCCATGATTTTTCTTCAGAATTATTGAACAGTGGATATAATCGCGATGAAATATAGAATGAAAAAAATCAAGGTGTTAAATCTAATTCAGAATATAATTATGATTACATATTTTTGGTTCGAATTGGATAATGTGTTTCTCTTATTTCTGAAGTGACATTTTCTCGAATTATATCTCCTGGAGTAAGAAAATATTATTCTCAGGTTGCACCCGCTTTATACAAGCTTTAAAAAAATATTGGAAATGGTATTCTTCTAAAAAATGAAAGTTTAAATACAATCAAGCAACATACTAAACGATAAATATAGAATAAAATTCTAATCTAAAGCTGCAATTTCCTTAAAAAGAACATCGGTGGCCTCTTGATCCTCAACATATTCAGTTGATGATAGGGTCCAAATTATAATCAAATATGGAAGATTCATACAGTACATTACGTATAAATGAATGAAAACTCTGATGTAGTTAAATTTCACTATGTCTATAAATTCATATTTCATAACCAAAACACTATATCTCACGCGTTGCGCTATTTCTAAACCGACACTACCAAGAATTTCCATGAATAATGCGATGTTAATTCTTAAATGATATTTTTTCGGAATGTAATCTTTGATACTTGATAATACAAAGCATATATTCATAAGAATCAGCATTATAATATATATTGTGTTATAGATTGTTGAATAGACTATATATGTTTTGTTGTAAACAACTTCATTAATGAATGGAATTGTATATGGATCAACTTTGGAGTATAAGGTAAAAAAGAATTTGCATACAATCCTAAATATCATTAAAACATAAAGAAAATAGTTAAAGTACTTCAAATATTTTCCAATTTTGATATTAAAGCAAATTAATACAATTGCAATTTGTTCCATGAACATAACATCTGCTAGCATTGTAAAATCATCCCACACTCTGCTTAATCTAAAACAAAAATTCTTATCCTTTTCACGATAAAAATAACATAAAACATAATAATATATCCAAGAACTGAAGTTGTGAACAGCATATGTGAGCACATAGCATATACCAGGCATAAAGCGATTTCTGAGTTGAAATTTAAGTCTTCTGATTAACGAAAAAGCAAAATAAAAATATGGAATTTGAATAAGTAATTGGAACGCAGTAAAAATATAAGAACATGGATGATTACAAACCCGGAATGCTTGAAATTGACAATAAACTCGTGGCATTTCCCGTATGAAATAACTTACCATCTTTTTTTGGAAATTTGACAAAATTGTTGCAACAGAAATTTTATTGAAATTTTATTTCCATCATAGCATGAAATGCATTTAAAACTTTTTAAAATTTCTTTGCAGAGCTAATATCATGGATAATATTTTCTAAATTGTTAATTAATTCGAAAAGATTGAATTGATCGGAACAATTGGTGGAAATCCTTACGTTGATGATCTTTCAGATCAATTTGGAGCTGATAAAGATGAGTTAGGATCATTGCCTGTGCTTATTGTGGAAAAACTTCGTTCATATAATAACGATAGGAATTATTTGGTCGACAAATATATTCTTAAGATTTATAAAATGGTTGAGTTTTGTATTCTATTTGCATTAAAATTCAATTCACTCTCAAAAAAGTATTCAAAACTAAAAAAAGTTTTCTAATAGAGGCATATGTCCATTGTCCAAGCGGCTCACTTTCCTACAACAATAGTATTGATGCTAAATACTCGTCTCTCATCATTGATTCCTCATGTGAGCGTTTACTTTTATATTCTTTATCATATTCAAGTATTACACAAATAAAATTACCAGACACACTTATACAAATCGATGATGACGCTTTTTATAATATTCCTGTTCGTGAAATTGATATTCCTGCCTCAACAATTCAAATATCAACAGGGAATCCTTTCAATTATGCACACAAATTAGAGAAAATTGTAGTAAATCCTTTAAATCCTAGTTATGCATCAGTTGATTATATCCTTTACAATAAAAATATTGATACTCTTATTCATGTACCGCGGAAAAATGGTTTGAAGGTTTATGTAGCCCCTAGATCTCTCAAAAAAGTCCAGTTTCATGCATTTTTTTATCATGAAACAAT